GAGCTTTTGTGACCCCTGTCTCCGAGGGCACCACTCTCCCTGCATCTCCACGTGTTCACCAGTCCAGAAGTTCTCCAGACCCCATCCTTTTCAGTTCTTATGGAGGCTTCATTACATAGGCATAGTTGATTAAATTACATCCCATTGGTGATCCATTCAATCTCCAGCTTCTTTCCCATCCCTGGAGGTCAGGGAGATAGGACTGAAGGTTCCAGCCTTCTAATCACATGATTTGTTCTCCTGGCAACCAGACCTTTGGTGTGGCCCAAAAGTCATCTTATGATCAAAACAAAAGACACCTCTATCATTCTAATCACTTAGGAAATTCAAAGGGTTTTAGAAACTATGTGCCAGAAACAGGAACAGAGACCAAATATACATTCCTCGTTGTAAATTGCAGTCTCAGAGATGGTATTTCCCAAGACACGGTGGTTGAACCTGAAGATCTCTGAGCTTTCATCTGACAAAGCAGGCAGACGGTCACCAAATCACACATATGCCAGAATTCAAGACTATTCACACACGGTGGAGGAGGTATTGTGGACATGGCTTCCCCTTTCTACCTGCAGGGAGCTCCTTGAAGGGAAGAAGCCAAGCTTAGGCAGAACAGTAGCTGGAGCCGTCAGGTTACAGGATGGCGCCCTGGTGAAGGGACTGCTCAGACCACAGGAGAAGAGTACACTCTAGACCAGGCAGGACCCAGTGTAAGCGGGAAGGAGATGGTTTACAAAGGCAGGTAGCACCACGGGCTAAAGGGCACAGATGTCTGAATCCATAAGAAAGGGAAGGGGCGGGGTGGCCAGGAGCCAAGGAGGCACTGACAGCTGGGCCAGGCTTGAGAGTGAGGCTGATGACCGCAGGGAGATCAGGGAGGCAGAGCAGCGTGTATGTTGGGTTGGACAGGGAGGCTGATGAGGGATGAGAGCTATGCCCCAGACTTACCAGCCACCTGCGCAAGAGTGTAAGGACCTGTCTCCTTCCCAGCCCTCCCCCCTTTGGTTCAGGGCCTGGGTTTAGGGGGTGGGTGCTGGCAGTGAAGGGTTCTTGCCACCAGCAGGGGGTGGTGTGGGGCAGGCAGGGATCCCCACATCTCAGGGGACTGGAGGGTCCCGTGTCTCTATATTGAGCAGTGCTGGAAAAACTTGCCACATTCTTGTATTTGGGAGACATTTTCTTTTATTCCACTTTTCCCTCATTCTCCCTTTTCTCTGAAAATGGTGTTTTTTCCTGATTGTATGCATAGTTACCACCTTTGTCTTGGAAGACACCTTCAGCTGTTAATATCTTTGATTAGACTACGGTTTTCCACATTTAGTCACGGCTTCCTGGCGATGCACTCTGGGCCTTTATTTAGGTTTCACAAGGCCTGCTCTGACTTGGGCAACACCCTGTACCTGAGGGCTCAGTAGCAAATCTCCTTTGCAGTGAGCTGGTCGGGCTCAGAGGGGAAGAGGGGAACGTTACCCCCCACATTTGGGTCCTCCTCACGGGGTGCTCCTGGGCCCTTGTGTCTTCTTTTGCTGCTCTCAGACTGTGGCCATGGGGGTCCCGCCCGGCCTGATGAAGGGTCTGTGATGTGAGGCGGTGGGGGCTGCTTCTGGTCTCATGTCCCCCTGCCTGCCTTGTCCATTCCTGCCCCTGGTCTCTTGTTCTCTCATCCAGGTCTGTCCAGGTGTTGGGTCCCAGGCCCAGAGAGATCAGCTCAGGGGGGACATTGATCCATAGGCGAGCGCGGTCTGCCCTCCACGTTACGGTCTGTTCTCCCGGGCTGTCTACTCACACAGGCTAGTTACTCACAGCCCCCAGGGCGCTGCCTTCACTGCGAGGGGAACGGATTCTAGCAGTGGAGCTCCCAGCAAGGGCAGCTCTTTGTTCTGACTTGCAGGGAGCAAGCAGCTGATGATTCAGGGAGCTGCTTTCCTGCCCGTTACGGCCCTTCTGAGTCTCCCTGGATGAGCACACACGTGTCCGGGTGGAATGTTTTCTCATCCCCCACGCAGCCTTACCTTCACCTGCACACCTGACTGAAAGCCGCCGTGCGTTCCCGCACTGCAGCCATGTCTGTCTCCTCCACTAAACGACCCTGGCGAAAACAGGATGCCTCGTCACTCCCAGCTGGTGGCTGATGTCTCAGAGAACAACAGAGTAGGATCGAGGCGAGGAGGTGGCCGGAGGGACTTCAAAGCAAGGGCCTGGCTGCTGAGTCACTGGGCCAACTCCTCCACCCCGGCGCCAGCCCCGGTCTTACATGTACCAGAGCCCTCTGGAGACTGAGAAAGAAACCTTGAGGAACCAAGACGACTTAGGGGAGCAAGATGCAGAAAAGATGTGTTTGGAATGGATAAACAAGTTTATACTGTATTGCATAGAGAACTATATTCAATATCTTGTAGTAGCTTACAGTGAAAGAGAATATGAAAAACGAATATATGTATGTTCATATATGACTGAAGCATTGTGCTGTACACCAGAAATTGATACAACATTGTAAACTGGCTACACTTCAATTAAAAAAAAAAGAAGTGTTTGGGAGTTGGAGATGCATGACGGCTTTGTGACTCTCCCACTTAGGAGTCGTGTGATTCTGGCAAGTTCCTCAACCTCCCTCTCTCTTTTTCCTCACCTGTAAAGTAGGAATTTCAGTGCCTTCCTTGCACAGTTATCATGAAGAGTAAATAGACATTAACACTCAGATGCACTGCATGCAACTTGATTGGAATCTGATTTGAAAAAGATCAAGGGAGTCTAAATATGGTTTCTGTAACATCATCTAGTATGGAGTACTGGTTGACCTCTTGGTGTGAGAATGGTATGTATTTAATAGGATACTGCAGTCATCAGAGACACATGCTGGAATATTTAAGATGCCAGTTTTGCAAGGTCTGAAGCGCACGCAGATGGTTCAACAACAACAAAAAGTACATTTGCTTGGAAAGAAAGACAAAGCAAATCCGGTGAACTGCCAACTGCTGAATCTAGATGGAGACTCTTCAAGTGTTTGCTGTGTATGCTTTCCATTTTTCTCAATGTTTAAAATTTATCAAATAAAAACTGGAGGAGAAGAAGAATAAACGAGACAACGTATATCAAGCACACTGCACAGCACCCTGTTTGGCAATGTTTATTTCATGAATAGTCATAGTATGTCACTGGAGCGACATCAGCCAAGAACCAGGGACAGGCCTGCCAGCTACTGTTCTGGGGACACAGTGATGATTGCTAGAGGACTGGAGACAAATAGTAAACAACGAGACAAGTATGTGAACACGTTGGCTGAAAACACTGCTGAGTGCTACGAAGGCAGTCACAGGTGAGGCACCTGGGACCCGCGGTGGGAGTGCCACACGTGTGCCTCTGAGCAGGTGGAATGTCAGCTGGGGATGGACCGTGCCAGGGAGCTGGCCATGCAGAACCTCCCACCCTGCCCCACCTGTGCATCCAGGGGGCTAGAAGAGCTCAGGATGCCACAGTGGGTGACATCAGCCTAGAGGCAGGGCTGGGCGTGTCTGCTTCCCTTTTAGGTGCAAGCAGCTGAGGTGCAGTTAATGCTGTTACAACCCTCCAGTCTGTTCACACAGGCCTGATACCATCAGCCTCCTGGAGCCATGAGCTCCCTGGTGCGGGGGCAGGAGGGGGTGACGAGAGTGCCCGCTGAGCCACTTCCTGGAAACAACCCATGATCTGGAACTGGCCTTAGAGGGAATCTCCAGGGCCCTCTTCACAGGCCCTGGGGCTGGCAAAGGCACTCCTCAGTAACACAATTAACAAATGAAAGCGTGTTCAACCTCATTCATAACTCAGGAAATGCCAAGTTGAAATTTCATCCATCAGATCAGTAAGGAGTAAGGAGACTGAAAAATAGTAAGTCCTGATGAGGCTGTGGGAACAACCCTCTCTCATCCGTTGTTTGTTCAGCCTTTGTGGGTAATCTGGGTAAGTAATCTGGGCACTGTCCACCAAATTTAAAGTTGTGATCGCCCTTTGGCTCAGCAGTTCCATTTTAATGAATCTCTTCTGAAGACATCATCAAAGAAGTGATTTTTCACAACAATGTAGGAGGATGGTCTACAATGATATATATATGAATTGTAACTGCAGCATTTGCAGCACTGCAGGAATTATGTCACCGAAAAGGGAAACCCCCCAGATGTCCAGCAGGAGAAGACTGCTTACATAAATTATATATAGGTATGCATTTAATATGAGTGAAGTTTTGGAAATAAAATATCTGTACTTACAATAACAGTATAGGTTAATGTATGCATAGAAAAATAACCAGAGGACTCAATATTAAAAAGTAACAGGTCTCTGGAGCATGAAATCCTGGGGACGTTCACTTTCTACAGTATGTTTTTCTGTGATATTTAAATTTTGTAGCATAAGCGTGAATTACTGTTGTAAGCAGAAAAAGGATTTTAAAGAGAGAGAAGTGAGAGGACGGAAGAACTGCAGTGGATATTTGTTCTTCTGTTTGGCCAGCCAGGATCTGAGCCCTCCTTGAAACGTCTGGGTAACTCACCTGCCTGAGGGTCTCCCGTCGTAGCTGTTGTAAGTGGCCTTCTGAGGCTAGGGCCATGGAAGGTGTGATGGAGACTGTGCCAAGTCCTAGTCCTCACCCACCCCCTCCACTGCCCAGGGAGCCTCAGGGAGCCCCAGGAGGCCAGTGGTTGGAGTTGCGTTTTCTCCCACCTGCAGTCAGAGTGGTAAATGATGTGCTGACTTCAGGCAGAAAAGGCAGGTAGGGGAATGCTACTCCAGGGCCGCCTGAAATCCACAGAATTTGAACGAGCAAGCTTTAGGAAGGACTAAAGTCAGAGAAACTCCAGGGACCTGAGGAAGGATCTATGGGTCTTCTTTCTAGAGAGCTGCCCCACTGGGAGTTGTGACAACTCCCAGCTCTGGGTCTCTCAGATCAGCTGCCAAGTTCCTGTAAGGGAGAATCTGATTGGCCCCACTGAGTCAGCAGCAGGGAAGGGTCAGGGTAAGCTGTCCCCAGGGCAGGCAGCCACCTGGCCCGCTGACTTGTATTGGTTTACTAGGGATGCTGTGACAAAGTACCACAAACCAAGTGTTTTAAACAACAGAAATGTATTGTCTCATGGTTCTGGAGGCTGGAAGTCCAAGATCATGGCATCATCAGGGGTGGATCTTTCTGAGGCTTTGAGAGAGAATCTGTTCCAGGCCGCTCCCCCTGCTCTGGGGGTTTGCCAGCCATCTGTGGCCTCTCTTGGCTTGTAGACACATCACCCTGATCTCTGCCTTCATGTTCACAAGGCATTCTCCCTGTGTGCGTGTCTGTGCCCAAATCTCCCTTTTTAATAAGGACACCAGTCATACTGGATTAGGGGCCCACCCTACTACAGTGTGACTTCATCTTAACTAATTACCTAATTCCAGATAAGGCCACATTCTGAGGCTCCAGAGGTTAGGAATTCAACCTGTGAATTTGGGGCCCAGGCAGGGTGAGGGGAAAAAACTCAACCCATCACATAACTGTTATGGGCAAGGTCAGGTTCAAATTCAAGATGGAATTTAGATGCCCCTGGGTGCATCTGAGTCCAGCACCCAGCCCAGGTTGGTGGCTGTGGCCAGGGGAGCCAGCCCTTGGCATGCCCCTCTTAGCATCAAGGATGCATGTCTGAGAGTGAGTGACGCACACTGTGTTTTCTCTCGCTGACGCTTTCTGAGCCAAAACACCTGGAAGATAAGTGTTTGCTTTTATAAACTACGCATGTGATGATCATCATCTCAGGAGAAGATATTTAAGCAGGAAACTCCTCTCTCAGCTCCTGCCCACAGGGAAAACAGACAAGCAGCCCATCCCAACAGGGACAGCAGCTCCCTCTAAGAGGTGAAACAGAGACGGAAGAGACCTTCCCTTTATATTTTACATACTTTTTGAACAATTTTCATTTTTACAGTAATCTTTATTAGTCCTAAAAAATAACTTACAATATGCTATCTTTTTAAAAACTGAATTTTCATGTAAGAATATACATACATACCTTCTCTTTCAAGAAAGTGGAAACATTGAAGAAAAGGGTAAAGTTTCCTAGACTCGCCTCTCTGTGCACCATCCCCCCCACAAAAAAATCTATAGCCGAATCCACTAGTGTTATCACTTTGGTGTGTATCTTTCCACATTTCTTTAAACACACTTCCAGGCATATATATGTCCCCACATTAAATATGTAGTCTGGGTTTGGAAGAAATTAAACATAAAATGTTTCCATATGGTGCTGAACTTTTTCTCTCAATTAAGTTTCCTCAGGGAGCATCCTTTCCAGTAGTTTAACTCACATCCTAAGATCCTTCTCCTCCACATCCTCCTTCCTTCCTCTCCCCCAGGAGTAACAGGTCTGTGGTTTTCCCAAATGCTGCTCCCAAGACCATCCAGCAAGTCTCTGGGGTAGAGTTGCCTGATGTGGCAAACGAAAATATAGGAGGTAGGTTAAATTTTAATTTCAGGTAACAAATTTTCAAATATAAGTGTATCCCACAGAGCACTTGAGATGTACTTACACTAAAAAACAAAACAAACAAACAAAAAATCTTTCCTTTATCTGAAATTCAGATTTCACTGAGTGGTCTGTATTTGATCTGCCAATCCTACCTCAAGGCACTTGTTAAAAATCAGCGTTATCCCATCTTGAGATTCAGTAGGTCTGGGCGGAGCTCATCAGGAATCTGTATTTTTTAAATGATACTCAGTTTGTAGCTGACAAGAGAGAATTTAATGTAACCTTACTGTGTGGTGGATAATGTATAGCATATTAAACAAAGCATTATACAAAAGTAGTTCCATATGACTATTATGTGAGAGTTTTGTTTGGTAAGATTTTAAATCATGGTACTGTAATGTATGTGTTTGTTTACCAGTGAAAGAAAGTGAACTATATAAAGAGTGAAAGAATATGTCAGTTACTATGGGTTTATACATAACTTTCGCAAAACAGTTTCTACCTCTTCAATGTAATTCCTATGTTTGGCAGCACCATCTACCTAAGTTCTGGTATATGTTTGAAAGTAAAAGTTTTATTTTCTTTTAAATATTAAAAAAAATGATATTCAGATTACTGGCCACGCCTGGGAACCCTGTACTCCACGACACCAGGCTGGCGGGGGTCCAGGCTTTTCTCCCCATGAAACTACACATTTTCAAGCTTATCCATTCCTCAGTCTTTATTATGTTAGCCCAGTAGGAGTGAGGCCTCTAAAACAGACGTCCCTGGACTTCTGCCTCGGGAGAGTGCTCTCAGGTGTGGCGCCCCTTCCTCCAGTACATTGTCAGAACAACCGGCTCTGCTACTTTTCCTCCAGCCGCCCTATTTTCTTTGGATCCGCAGAATTTTCAGGTCCCAGGATTTCTGCAGGCTTGGCCAACCGCTCTCTGACCAAGTAACTCTCAAACTCAGCACAATGGCAAAGGGCTGGAGGGGAAATGGATGGGGCCAGGGACAAAAAAGAGAGAAGATTCTAGGCTCTGCGTTCCCCCTGACGCAGCTGCTCCCAGCTTCGTCTTTCTGGGTAACCCCTCGGCCAGACCCGTGGGCCCCAGTCTTTTCCCAGAGCCACGCTAGCGTGAGGCTGGGCCCCTGAAGGGGCGTGGCCAACAGAACCGAGCTACAGCCAATCCCAGCGGGGTCTTTGGTTGGGAGGTGGAAGGGGGTGTGGTGACGGAGAGGGGCGTGGCTCGACAACTTCAGCAACCCAGCTGGACCAATCCCGGGAGGCGAAGCTGACTCCCGACCTGGGCCCAGGTGCGCCCCGCTCTCGGCTGCTCTACGCGCCTGATGGAGGGCTCCCGGGCGGCGTCGGAGGGAGACCAAGCCCGGGCTGAGTTCCCAATGGAGCCCCTGGGAAGCGAGGACCCGGAGCTGAATCAGCCGCAAGTCCCCGCAGAGGAGCGACGGCCTGAGAGTTGCGAGAGCAGCTCGAGTCTGGCTCCGGTCGCGAAGGAGGTGGCGGACGAGCGCCAGGACCTGTCGGGCGAGAAGAAGCTGCCCTCGCCTCGCCCCGCACCCTTGCGGCCACCCAGCCTGGGCT